AAAAAAAAAAAAAAAAAAAAAAGAAGAAGAAGATTTGAGGATGGAATGAGAGAGAGAGTTTTTTTTTTTTTTAACACACTCAGAAGACCCAGCAAATGGACTCAGGCCCCTCTCAGGGTCAGAAAAAAAATATCAGCAAACAGATCAAAGGTAGCAACTTTTCTTAGAAAATGCAGATTTCTCAGTCTGAGACCGTGCAGGGCATTGCAGGAGAAGGATGTTTCTGGAAGCTCAGGTATTGATTGAGTTAAAGAAGAAGAAGAAGAAGAAGGTCCGGTAGCCAAGGTGTCTGTGGAGCCACATCCTGGCTCCAACTCGATCGATATCTTCTTCTTCTTCTTCTTCTTCTTCTTCTTCTTCTCCTTCTTCTTCTTCTTCTTCTTTTTTGGGGGTCCGGACGTGGTCTATCTGTATAATAAAAAAAACGGGTATGTATAATAAATTATTATACAGATAGACCGCGTTCGGATCCCCCCCCACAAAAAAAAACGGGCCTGAAAAACCCCCAAAACAATTTTGGGGTCTCGGCTCCTCAGTGGGCGATAGACAGAAAACCAAGTTGCAAAATCGCGCAGAAGTCCAGATAGTCATGTACCAAGCAGAGAGCACAATGCACCAGATACCATCCAAATAAGAGCAATACAATGAACTCGTATGTCAATGTCGATGCTCTCTGGCCACACCAACACAGTATCCAATGTCGCCCCTACTGTCTGGCGCCCAGCGCCCAGACTACACTACTCAGCCTATCTATCCTATCTATGTTCATGCGACTGGATCACATCGAAGTCGAAGACCAAGGTACGTGACGTCAACACCAATGCCGGCCGCCAGTGTACACCAGGTACGTTCTCTCTCCTCCCCTCATCACACCTTGATCCCCTCTGCATGCGCCTCCTACCCGAAGACCAAGACCACCATCGCCATCACCTTCCTGCGCCTCTGCAGCACGGCTATGGTTGCTGTGCGCCCGCTGCCTCAGCAGCGCCCCTCACCTCAGTGCCCGTGCGCGCATCCGACGAGCAGCGCCCATGCAGACACTAGCGCAGCAACGCAGCAGAGGGTCCGCACTGTCTGCCAAGACCAGAATGCCTACCCAGGGGGCACACACTTTCCTTTATGGAAAGTGTGCTCACTGCTGGCTGGCCTGGCCAGGCGTGTGGGGGCCCAGTAGCTTGCCTCTGGCCCCAAGTGTCTGCGCCCAGGCCCAGTTTCAGATACCGGCCTGGGCCTCATGCAGTTAGGCACGTCCAGGCAGCCACCCAGCCTCCAAGTGTTTGCAGCATTTTCATTGGTTCGCGGCATGTGTGATGACAATGCTGCTTCCTCATTGGCCCACAACCAGTCCGTGATGTGTCGGCCTCACACAGTGTATGCCCAGGTACAGCCCTAGCTTCTGGAAAGAGCCTGGAGGCTCACGTTGCTCTGTAACCAACTGGCGTGCTGCAACTGTCTGAGTACCCACGTATGGAAAATGTTGAAAAGAGGCCTCTCAGTGATATTCAGGTCCGCCTTCGCTTAGGGCGAGCACGGGCTTGCTGGGGGCCCAGCCAGAACACTTTTATGTCTGATAAGGGGTCCGCGGGGCTCGTTCCTCACACTTTTTCTAAGTTTTTGTAGTTTTTGACTTAAGTTTGGTTAGAAAATCCGATATGACTCTGAGGCAAAAGTGGTTTGTATTGTTATTCTGCATAGCATACTTTTTTTAAGTTTTTTTCAGTTTTTTATTTTTATTTTTTTTTTATTTTTATTTTTTTTACGGTCCAGACATTTTCGGACCTGCTTACCGGTCGGGACCGTCCGGAACCACACGTGCCAGGAGGTCCGGATGTGTCCGGAAGTCCGTACATCCGGACCCGACCGGACATGCGTCTAGTCCCTGGACATGAGCTGTCCCGGCCGGGGCCGGGTCCAGTGTAGCCATGATAACTAGTAGCATCATGCATTCTTGCTCGCGAAACTCTTTCATAAAATTCTAACAAATTCTCTCATTCTTCAAAATCCCAAAGAAAAGGGGTCAATGCTCCTACATGCATAGCATGGGTGACTTTGATCACGCCAGTACGTACTATGGTAGCACAGAAATGGACACGTATACGGGGGCGGAGGAGCAAATGCACCTGCAAAAGATCCGATGGTAACAGATACAGACCTATCAAGTAAAAATCATTTTTATTTTAAAAAATATTTTTTTTTCTTGCCAATATTATTTTATTAATATATTATTTTTTATTTTTTTTTGGAAGATAGTAACTATTTACATGTATAACTTTGACTTTCTGTCCACTTGTATGGGGGTGGAGGAGCAAATGCACCTGCAGAATATCCGATCGTCAAAGATACCGATCATCAGGATCGGCAGGGACAGGAGTATGGAGTGGCGGGTAACCTACCTACCGTAGTGTTGCGTGTTGCCGGTGAATGAGCGGAAGAACAAGCAAAGCACAGAAATGAGAGGACACACAGTCTCAGGGTTCTCCAACAGTAATGCGAGGAAGTGTGGTGTGAGTTGATGTTTTGAAAGGCACAGTGACCCGTTTCCCAGCTTAATGATAAAACAAAAAAAGCATGACTGGGTGTAAAGAAAAATGAAAATGACTATTTTTTAAAGAAGAAGAAGAAGAAGAAGAAGAAGAAGAAAGTTGTCGTCAAGATCAACCATTTGATTCTTTTCGCCAGGGAAAAGAATGCGCAAATCAAAAGGAGTGCCAAAAACAAAACATAACCAGCAAGCAGTTGAGAAAAAAGTTAAGTTCAAAAAGTTCCAAAAAAGTTCCAAAAAGTTCCAAAACAATGCAGAAAAAGTTCCAAAAAAGTTCCAAAAAGTTCCAAAAGGTTCCAAAAAAGTTCAAAAAGTTCCAGAAACAATGCAGAAAAACTGGTGAGAAATGAGACTCCCAGATCAATCATTCATTCTCCAACTCTGTGGCTCCCCCATGTCTCTACCAGGGCAATCTAAGGACGATGGATTCAAGAGAAAAGACAGCCACATTGGTGTTCTTTGACATTGCAAACAGTCTCAAGATCGTGGAATCGCGGAGGACTGGTGTATGCGGGAATGGCATGTGCGAATTGGGCGAGCGGTGTAATCCGGACGGGTCTGCAGCACCAGTTGTCACTCTGGAGGGCACAGAAGTGCTCGCAGAAACACAGTGCTGCCCTGCCGATTGCCAGTATATCACTGTGCCGTGTCCGGCTCCAGCAACTGGCCCGAGGCAAGGTCTGCCGTGCTCTTCAAACGGCCGATGCATGGAAGCTTCCGGGCAATGTGATTGCTTCAACGGCTATGCCTCATCTGATTGCAGCCTCTGTGAGATTGGATGGATACCACACAGAGAAATCCCAGGGTTGTGTGTGAAGATGTCGGACTCAGTCGTAGGCCTTACACGTAGAGTGACCGGAGTTTTGGGCCTGCACGTTGTTGCCGCAATTGTCTGCGCTTGTGTTTTCGCAGCAATACTCCTGATTGTGCTCACGACTTATCTGTGCTGCGGCAGGAATAGATCCAAGGGGGCTTCTGTGGCGGCAGAAAACGACAACCCGAACAATCCTGACAGGGGAAAAGCCAGGTCGCTGGCCTCACCTGAGACAGTGGTTCTTAACTGGGGGCCAAGGAACCGATTATCCGTACCACCAGAGCCAGACAGTCCCAACTGGGACAAAAACAGACTATCTGTACCACCTCCAACTCCTGTGCCTTCCACTCGAATATAGGATGTGGACGTCCTGCTGCTACATCCGGCTGCACAGTTACATGAGGAATGACTGAGTGTACTGCTGCACGCGGCTGCATACGTACTGTGTTCTAACCACGGTTACATCAAGAATGACCAAGTGTCATATTATATAGATAGATAGATAGATAGATAGATAGATAGATAGATAGATAGATAGATAGATAGATAGATATATGCCCGGTAAACCGTAGGCAGAGAGGGAGAAGAGGAAAAACAAACGACGGGCTGTGACAAACTGTTTCGTCAGAGTTTCACTGACTCATCAGGAGGCTGGTCGTTGATCTTCGGAATCTGCGGTCAGAAATCGATCATTCGGGTAAGTGGGAGTTGGCCCCCGGTCAGAGAAGAAAATGAAGAAAGGAAGAAGAAAGCCGACTCTGAGGGGGTTGCTGTCCCAACTGAAGGTGGCTTGTTGGGATTTTTAGAGGTACACCTTATCACTGTTATTAGACAGAAGTCACAGAACCTGCCCGGCACTTTGGCCTGGTTCAGTTTTCTCTAGCACAGTGGCAATCAAGTGCGTAATGCATGTTAAGGAAAGATAATAAGATATACTATTAGCTTGCTTGGACCAACGGGCCTACCTTCTTCCTCCGAATACGACGTACGGTCATTATAGCTGTATTTGGGGTATCTTTCAGTCTACATACAGCTATCATGACCGTGCGTTTTATTTGGGAGAAGAAGGTAGCTCAGTAAGGATTGCCGCCTTAGAGTTCCAAATCCCTGTTTCTCAGAATTGTTCAGACACGGAATCGACGAACTCTTTTGTGGAAGTTTCTTGGCGACAGCCTTGCAACTGCCGTGATCTTGTTTTGATGATACTTTTCTGGAGTCGACATTTTTCCAGTGGGTTCTAACTTCTGAGCTTCCACCGGCTTGTTCTGAAGGGGTTTTTTTTTTTTTTTTTTTTTTTTTTTTTTTTTCGGAGAAAATATCAAACTTCATTATCAATGAACAAGTTGAGGCCGGGAACCTCACAATTCTACCCGGAAGACTGGGGCCATCACACAGAATCGGCTCAGTACTGGAAACCGGGTCCAGCGTCCCTTCACTTGTCCTGTAACCAAGTAATTCTCCAAAAAAAATTGACACTTAAGCTCCTGAAAAAAGGGGGGGGGGCTTAGAAAAACACCCGGGTTAGCACCTAAACTCCCTTCTTAAACTCCCTTCTACGTCTACCTGCCAGATTCCTTGTCTAACCAGTCGTTCCTACTCAACCAACCTCCCCAATACTCTTGCAAGTAGACGTAAAAAACAATCCTGGGAGAGTTCCGTCTTCAACATGACCAAAGAGGGTAATTCCCAAACATACTACTCAAGGTGGGGTACTAAACCGTTCCCCATGACCTATCGTGGTCAATAACCATGAGCAGAAGGAGAGCTTCCCCCTGTCATCCACAACTGCCAGCCCAGAATTCCTCCCCCAGGTTTCCTTAAACCATTTCCTTTGATTATGATTGATTCCCCGAGATGTACGTCGATTCCAATCACAAATGATAATTCTTCGTAAGTCTGAGGTGATACGCTTCTTGACCTGAATGTCTGACATACACTGACGGCGGAACAGCTGATTGTTCCTATCGTCCCAGATCACCTTCATGATAATCGCTCTTGCCACCTGAGCCACGTATTTCCATTCGCTTTTACCTTTCCTGCAACCTGTTAGAATCCAGTCATCTGACCAGTCAAAACTGTTTTTTGTGAACCTTGTCCAATGCTGAATCCACCAGTCCCAAGCACGCCTCGACACCGGACAGGTCATCCAAAGGTGTCTCGTAGTCTCCCATCCCCACCTGCACCTCGAACAAGTAGTAGATATCTCCATCCCTTTTGCTGCTAACCAAACTGCTGAAGCTGTGGCCAAGATTGCTTGAAGCCACAGCATGTTGGCTAACCTCTGGGATGGGAGGCCCTTGAGATCCACCCACAGAGTTTGCATTTCCTCTTGAGACATACCCAGCAGGCCTTGTTCAGAGCGTCTTTTTGCTACAGTGGCATACGGATGTTTCTTGACCTTCTGTCTGAGGACTTCAGTGCCTATTTTAGCCTTGTATCCCTCCAATGTCACAGTCTTACGCTTTTCAGCACTAAACCAGCCCACCGTCTTTGGGTTAATACCAAGAGAACTGAGAGTCATCCCGTGTGCTACCAGCTTCCTCCTTGTTGGGGTCGAGGGATCATTTCTTCGAGCTAGGGGCGCCATTACCAAAATCTCTTGCAAGTCTGTCGCCAATTCCAAATTTTCCTTGCTGCCTTGGTAGATCTCATTTGTGAACGAGGAGTCTGCGGCCTTATGCCACCTGTACGCTTCAAAACCACCTTCCAATGCAGGGCCTATAATATGCCAAATATCATAAGTTCCCTCCTCATTCAACTTCCTTTCCCATAAACCCTCGTCTGGTATGGCATTTGTCCGCAGTACTCTCTTCCAACTATCAGGAATAGCTTCTATCAATCTCGACAGTTTTGGTTGAATACCCCTCAGTCTTGGCAATTTCAATTTCGGCGCAGCACCATCTATCCAATCTAACTTACCCTCATCCCATATATCTCTTACCCTTACCACTCCTTTCTCTATCCAACTCTTGCCAAAGTGTCCCACAGATCCGTTAGCTAGAAAGGGGTTATTCTCTTCTGCATCTTTTATATGAGGATTTTCAAACAGAATCTCTATTAAAACAGAATCTCTTGAGTTTGGGTGTTCTCTCTCCGTCGGAATGAGCTTCTTCCATGCCTTCAAAATATCACCCCAGAATCTCTGTTAAAACAAAATCTTTAATTGTTTATTGACATACGACGGCATCAACAAACAGGCCAGAGCATCCTCCTGTCTGCTCAAGGACCATTCTTCACACAAAATTTGCAGACCCAAGGCCACCCAAGGTTCATCATTGGGAGAGGTAAAGGCCTTAATTGGCCATTTTGCCAACAAGGCCTGGTTCTGTTGTCTAGGATCCAGAATCCCTAGCCCTCCCTGATGTTTGGGGAAGGTTATAGTCTTCCAAGCTGTGTTTGCCTCCGAGCTTGGGTTTTTTTTCTTTAACACCACTCGAGCTTCCTTCTTCTCTTTTTCGTGAGCCACTTGGACCCCCCGACCCATGATAGGACCGCGACTTGGTTTTAGATCTACCTCTTGTCCTTGCATGAGGTTGTTGTCCTTTCGGGACGCTGTTATTCGTTGGGTTCGCTGCTTGTCTACGATCAGTAAAGCGCCTGAAACATGTGAGGGGAGGGTCCTCTCCCTGCGGCACAAAGCCCGAAAAAGGGGGTTCGGGTGGGTAGACCCTTTGTTTCATCTGTGTCGTGAATGGGTCAGGATCCTCAAATGCTGGACAGCATTCATCCTTATCCGTATGATAATTCACGCGGCATACCGAACACCATGGTGTTGCCGCAGAGATGACCTCGAAGTGGTAGTCTCCATGGCCCGGGATACCCACCAACAACCTTAATTTGACCATCTTCTGAGCCTTAAACTCGAGATCAAACCGTACTGTACCCAGTTCGGGTCCGTCCTCGTCTTCCTCGAAGGGATGCACTTTTAATGGCCCCAAGCGATTTTTCGACCGCCGTTTGGAGTATTGCCAACAATTGAAAAGGCACACGAGGATATCTGATCCAAAAGAATTTGGACTCCGCTTCCTTATATTCCTTCATTTCGGCCAAAGTCATCCGTGGGAGGAAGGTAAGTTTATACGCTTTGTTTCCGAGATCTACGTAATCTTCCCTTTTTTGTTTTAACCAATCGATGACTGAGGTTTGTGAAGAGAAGAGACAAACGAGGCTAAGTTTTTTCCTTCGTTTTGGTACCGTCCTCTTTTGACCGAGTCAGCAATCAGCCCTGCATCATACCACGAATCCTCGTAAATTCGTACTAACTTTGTTTTCGTATCGTTCGATAGTATCGATGCCCTCTCTTGAAAGAGGATCGTGATTGCATGTTCTCTCAACCATGTTAGATTGAGGTCCGAGAAACTTTCATTCAGGTCAAATCGTGCGAAGTCATCACCCAATTCGGCAATCCCAATATTCAGACCGGAGGGTAGAATCCCATCTCTGTAGCAAGCTTCAAACAAGGAACGGAGTTGTTTCTTTTCTTCTCTCAAGTAGACCTTTTTCTCAGCCGCCATGGTAAATAACGAACACATAGACGCCGAGGATATCCAAGTAATTAGAATTATATAGGGCCTCTATTAATAGGATAGTCAACGTTAAATACCAGTCTTCATACTACCTGACAAGGAGGAAAAAGGGGAAAGAAAGACCAGTGGTTTTACCTTCACCTCTTTGCTCTGTAGTCAAGTAGCTCGACACTGTCACAAGAACGTTCTTTATCCTGGATGAATAGTTAAACTTCGTTCGTCAACATTCAGACCCATGAAGGTACCATAGGCGGGCCATCCCGGGCTGCTCTCAGGTAGGACCCAAGGTCGTTGCTCTTCTGGGTGAAGGCAGTGTTCCTAACCCTAACCTCCATAGCTTAGCCACGGGGTTGAGCACCATCGTCGATAACCTCGAAGTTACCGAAAGTGAAAGCACATTGGTACCAAGGTGACAACCGCAGGGAATAGCGCGTTAGCGCTACCGCAAGTGGTCTCCGGTAGGCCGCCCTGACCGCTTCACCCTTTTTTTTTTTTTTTTGAAACTTCCTTCTGGATGTTAAAGGTGCTGATATAGCCAGACACCACCTCTAACACCATAGGAGGGCTCCATCTATTGCCACTATTGGTTCTGATTGTTATGTTTTTGGACCCTTGGAATTGTCGTAGACTCTGTGCGCTGGAATCGAATTGCCGTGTTTTTAGTTGAGATGATTAGGACTAGAACCTTCGTCGTCCTTTTTTTATTATACCAAGCTTCAGATTGGTGTTTTCTGACTACCAGGGCCCGGTTCCCAGCACGTGCTGCTCCCCACAAATAGATCGGAGCCTTTCTTCATAAAAACAAACAAACAAACAAACAAACAAACAAACAAAAAAAAAAAAAAACAAAAAAAAAAAGAAAGTAAAAAAGGACTGTACCTGGTACAATCCTTTGGTCCTTCCTTCCATGACCTTGGTAC